TGTGAAAAATACTCAATAAACTCGAAATCTCATAGAAAACAGTGAAATATTATGTTGTTTTTTAAGAGAAAAGGTTTTTCAGGTAGTTTTTCCAAACTAATTCTTTCCTTTTAGAAAAAAATTGAGTACCTCAACGATGTACCCCATTTAAAAAAAATTGTACCCTAACTGTACCCCATTTGAAATCTGCTGTACCACATTTCAAAATTAGCACTTGGCAGCCCTGAATCAGAATAAGGTCAACATACAAAATGGACTAGATATTACAATATTGAAGACAATAAATAATGATGAATATGTAAGACATTTTAGCCTCAGCTGACGGATACTGCCGATATTTTCAGACCGGTCATGTCGATAGTCGGTATAAATTAACCTATAGTAGATAAAACAATCAAACTTCATTTATTATCTACATTTATCATACACGAAATGTTGTTTACTGCTTTATTAAACATATTGTAATAAATTGTAAGTGAAGAAAACATGATGAATTTGGAATTGTTACCTAATGAAATTTTACTTATGTTATTCGATTATTTCAATGGTGTTGATCTTCTTTATGCATTTTATGGTCTCAATTATCGTTTCAATTTTCTTCTTTATAAACAATATCGATCTTATCGTTTCATATTCAATTCAGTATCAAAACATAATTTTGATATCATATGTTCACAGCATCTACCATTTATTGCTGATCGAATTATTAGTCTTAGTCTTTCGAATGATGAAAATACTCCAGGACAAATAAATTTATTTCGATCCTACATATCATCATTTAGTCAATTTACTCGATTACGATCGCTTTCAATATTTCATCTTCATTCATATGATATATTAAAGAAAATTGTCGATGAATGTCATCATCTTAGTCATCTCACTTATTTAAACTTTTACTCTTACTCTTCTCCTTTTCGAGATGATCAAATGAATTTTCAATCAATTATTAACAGTGTATGGAATTTTCCTCAACTTATTCGTTGCAATGTCGATATTTCCATTGGAGAACGTGACTTGTTTGTCATCCCAACAAAAATATCAACATCTCTCAGATATTTAAATATGTATAATAATGCACTTAAGTGGAGTCAGATAAATAAGTTATTTGAATATACACCGTATCTTAAACGTCTTTCGATGCGAATTTTTTCTGGTACTAATGATTATTATATACCATCTTCTTCTTTTTCAACATTAATCGATTTGAATATTATTATTTATTATACATCTGATACTTCAAGTATAATTTCATTTTTACAAAATACACCTAATCTACATCGTTTATATATTACTTTATGGTCGAAATTTATCAATGGTCATGAATGGAAACAAATCATTTGTAACTATTTACCAAAACTGAAAGTGTTTCAACTTAGAATGAAACGTAAATTTTATGATAATCATGATATACAAGAACAAGCAAATGAATTAGTTAATTCATTTCAAAGTTCATTTTGGCTTGATGAACATAAATGGTTTATTCGATGTATTACATCAGGCAATACTATTCATCTTTACACTTTATCAACATTATTTAATTACAATGAATTTGAAAATCCTGATTCGTTGCAATCGCCATATCTGTATGATGATCAAAAAAAGTTTTATAATAACATAACTTCGATCATTTTTGAATCTTTTGTTAGTCCACCAATTCCATCGAATATTAGTTTACCAAACATTCAGAAACTTAACATAAAACTTCCTATCAACAATCAGTTTTGGTCTGTAGTTCCAAGTTTAAAACGACTCCATTCACTTACAATATTGTCTTATACTGATGAGTTTTATTCTCAATTACAACTTTTACTTGATCAAGTACATCATCTTTCTAGATTAGCTGTTCATCAAGATCTTTCATTACCATTTCAGATATCACTATTTAAATTAAATACAACAGTTCACATTCTGGATTTAAATAATTATTATTGTTTCAATGAAGAAAAATGTGTTGCATTGAGTTCTTCATTACCGGGCATTCAATGTCAAATACTTTATGTTCGAATTGAATATCTTGAAAGTATTATTATTCTTTGTAAAAATATGATCAATCTCCGAGTGTTATATGTTAAATGTACAGATGGAAAAAATATCCATTACTTGCCAATACCAAAGGAAAATGATGAATTTTCTAATGTAAAAAAAAGAAACATAGATGAAGTTATTCAATGGTTAAAAGATCGTTTGACATCAACGTATTTGATCTTAGAAGATCCAAGTTGGCCTTATCATCTTCAAATATGGATGAAATAATAATATGACACTTCTATGCATTGATTAATCAATCGAAAAAGACTTTTCTTTATTATTGTTAAACTTAATTTTGATTTATAAAAATAAAACTGCACTCAATTGGAAATAGACATATGATTTTCTATGTAAATAAAAGCAAAACATACATAATTACATTTATATTAAAGTTTAAAATAACTATAAAATGTATAATTCGACAAGGAGAAAACAAACACAAGATCACTATTAGAATTCTGAAAAATCAATATCGTTCGGATGAAGATGAAATCTTACTTTTTGCCAATATTCTTATTGATATGGCTCATTTCAATGATGCATTTGAAACAATTAGATGAACCATTACCAAACAATCATCAAAATTTTCTACAATCTTATCAAACTTTAGCAAATTTTCATTTGAAAAAGGCCTTCATGAAGAAAGTTTACGTTATGAATCTTTGTTCTCTTGGATTTGTGAGATTGGTGAAGATTTTTTATTTCTGTAAATATTAATTTTTTGAAAAAGAAATTTGCTATACTTGATTTGTTTGACGTTTGATTAAGAATTGAATTGACTTTTCTTCTTGGTGGATTTATCGATGAAATTTTTCGCAATATCTTTCATTTTCGACATTGAAAAATCATTTCATGTTAAACAAAAGATTTCGATTGAATTCAAAATCAATGATCTCCTGGAAATTTTCCGAAGATATTTAATAGAAAGTTCATTGAATTTTATTCCTCAAACTGATTCATTTCGAAAAAGATCGATGACCAAAAATCGCTTAGGAAAATATTGCTGACTATCCGGGCTTTCCAAAGCTTTGATGCACTTCTTATTGCAGCCACAAGGTGATCGATAACATTTTCCATCTAAAGCATATTCATTATCTTTTCTATTATTTCATTATTGTATTACTTCGAAAAATTGTTACTAATTACCACTAATAAGTAATAAGGACATTAAAACGAAAAACATAACAATGCATAAGCAGTTTGAAAAAATGTCTTTGATTCTAGTGAATGTCATACAGAATAGACGCCTGAGAGCTCATTCTTTTCAATGATGAAATCTCAAACTCCATAGCCTGAGCCAATCAAGAGTTATTCAAAAAATGCCCACGGCCATTTAACTCTAAAATGGACTATAATTGAATTTTTCATATTGCAAATTGAGATCAAACGTCATTATAAATTCTTGTAGAAAATTTGACCAGGAATCTTTTGAAAAAAAATTCAAATGTAAGCAATGACAACTAACAGAGATATTGACGAAATACTGAGACCACCATTCTTCATGTACCATCCGATAGTTTGTCTAGATATGTCAAATGAATATATCTTACCTTATAATGTTAACATAAATGATCTTCTCACAACGAAAATTGAGAAGATAACAGAAAGTTTATTTTTGTTATTTATCACACTACATTTAAAATGCTTTTGTTACGAAAGAAAAATGGATATTAACATTAGGCAATTGTTGTTTGAAAGAAAATTGAATGAAGTGTGTACCTTTGGTCTACTTGTGTGAACAACAGCAATTCATTAAGTAAGAGCTTGTAACTTTGAAATACATCTTTACTATGTCTCATATCTTTATGTGTCTTCAATAAGAACTTTTTTTTTAAAAATTCAGAAAAAAATATTTGATTTCTGGTAATGATGAAAAGACTATCAAAATATAATTTACATTCTTCATTATAGTTTAATCGATATAACCTAACGATTTAATTGATATCTCTTCAGTGAGTATCCAATATGGATGCACTAGGTGATGTTTTTCTTCTTAACACATGTTGACAGGGTTTGATGTTACTAGTTGTTAATACAAACACTGCACAGTTAGTGCATCCCTTGCTTATATGTATCCCATGATTGTTTACTATAACACAGTGCACATAACATCAGCTTTCTCTTGTTCCGCGCGTGTGAGTGATAGAACATATGGTACTCACATTATAGATGTTGTTATTAATGTTCGAAAATATGTGAACTCGAACTATTCGACCTGAACTTCGAATCAAAGTTTGAGTTCGCGGCATGCCCAATTGAAATTGAGTTTGTATCATATTTCCGTTGAATTCAATATACAACAGATTGGACCCTTTTTTGATTAGATGTTGTTTCTTTCAGATTGAAATAATTCTAATGAAATTATTTTTGATATTTGTTTCATTATTTATTTTGTTTTGTACAGTCGAAACAAAATCAAATTTGACATTGGATACATTTTTCAGTTATACAAATTTTGATTCATTGAGTTTATCACCAAATGGTGAATATTTACTTATTAATACTCAACGTCCAGCATGGGATTCAGATTCTTTTGAGAATAGTTTATGGTTATATCAAACTGTTGAACGTCGAAAAAAATTAATTACAAATCAATTGTTTGTAAGTACCAAATTTCAATGGTCACCAAGTGGAAAATGGTTTGTTTTTCTAATGAAAAATAATTCTGCATCGAATAATTTCATTTTTCGACATCTATTCAAATCTGATTTAAAAGCTGAACAAAATATTTATTTATATTCAGTTGAAATGGATCAAGTCAAATCTATTTCAATCGGAAATGGGGA